TTGTCTCTGGGCTTTTTTCTACAGTAGTTCACGCCTAGCACGCGCGCCCATTGGTGAACCAAAAACCTGCATTGTCCGGTACTTTTTACCTGCCCCGAGTACATGTATACTACATGTGTGTATGTGGCTATCGATATCCTCTTGGGTACTCCTAACGACATACTGGGCCTTACTTCCTCTTCCTCTTCTTTAGCCCATCTGCGGCCAGGCAGATAGGTGTTCTTTCCGGCGATTGATATCTGTCTCATATCCTTATTACTTACTTGGATATTGAATTACATATAAGCGGCCACCGTTGCTAACGTCAACACCAACTCTCGGGCAATCGGTAGATGTGGTATACGTAGGTTGATCGATAGCCTAACGACTGCGTGAAAGTTCTACATACTCATTGATCCCTATCGCCGATCAATCATTATCAACCAGCACATGGAATCAAAAAAACAAAAACAAAAAACATGGCATCTAGCGAAGAAAGGAGGCACAAAAAATCTTAACGCCGAAAAAAAAGAGGCATAAAAGTGCGCGGAGAGGATCCCTGGCCATGCTGCGCGAGGTTTATTCGCCATATATGCATATCATGAGGCAGATTCCCATTCTCCCTCCACCACGGGTACGGGATTTTACTCTATCTCTATGTACGCATGGATCACCAAACCAAAATGCACGCGTGAGATCTGTGGCTCAGGGAGGAGGAGGGTGGAGTGGGTCATGGCACATACATATGTACCCCGCAGGTGTCAGGGAGTTCCTGCTTCGGTTTCAGAGCAATGTGTCACAGACAACGAGGGAAAGAAAGACATCAAGGTTCAGAAGAATTATACAAAGTTCCCAAGTAAGATATATCAGGTGAAAGTGCACACGATTACCACTTACCACATACAGGCGGCGAGGCCAATGGATATACATATCCCCTACTAGTCTTTGTTTTTCGTTTCTGAGCACGTATCCATTCTCCAGAATAGGTATGTGGATGGGAGGAGGTCTCACTTGACAGGGAATATTATTTATATCTAGCTACATGTATGTAGGCATCAACTCTAGCTCTATTCTCCGCTTTCGTTTCTGATCACAAGTCCCCACACACTGCCATACTGCAGTATCTCGTTACTAGTGGGGAACATCATCAGTTAACTCTCGGCATACGGATTGCAGAAACTGAAACAATGGCAGGGACCCAAATAAAAGAAAACTCTAAAATTCTTCACGGACGGATGCAAAATATGGTTGCGTCTTTGACATACCCTGGAGATCGATATATGAGGTTAAGTTGTGGCTTGGTCACAATGTGGTCTGTGCGTCCTCATTCTGATAAGATGAACAAAGCAAACATATTTACTTATACGCATCTCCTGAAGAATTCGGGATAGCTATAATTCATATGTCTGTCATAGTGATGAAATAATTCCCCGCCGATCATGGGACATGGATGGTACCATGTTCTCCTTACGTATCATATAGGAACATTGCAAGCTTAAGGCATAGAAAACTGGTGCTCCCTACACGTACGAACCAAGATTAATTATCATCTCGTCGTACTGCAGATTCTTCGTATGGTTATCCATCCAAAATCAGTAGCGGTATTCCACTTTATCTCGTCAGGAACGGGTCCCAGAGGTAGCTATTGGACCTCTACGTCCGAACACCACATAGATACCTCTCTCCTCTGCCGGCAGCGGGACCAGAGCCTATTTGATAACCTACCCCGAAAACGAACACCTACACTAGCTGCAAGACTCCATCTTCGAATCGCAAGGTATTCATTCGAAAGGTCCACCATCCAAAGTAGGGTTACGGCGCGGTTCCCGCGGTTAAAAAAGTCCTCACGGGTATCATCCTATGCTACCACACCGTATGCATATGCAAGCGCACCGGCATGGGGCATTAGGCGAGTCGAATGAACTTTTGTGGAGGATGGTCAATCTCCCGGAGTATTAATCAGATACTCCTTTTTCTTCCTTTTTTGGGTGGTTTCGCATATCCTCAGGTATTGTAGGAGCGTTGAGATGGATGGAATCGGCAGTGCTTTTTCTCTCACGACGGCCCCATGTCCCGGCCGACAACGTCCATCTATCCTCCAAACGGGAAAAAAATGGCAGTAAAGGAGGGAAGTATAAATAAAAATAAACAACTGAGCCGCTAAATGAAAGCTGCACTTCTGCGGCCTGCCCCACTTGACTCGGGCACCCAGGCAGAGTAGTCGGTATCCCGGCGTTGCAAATGACAACCTGCCACGAAACCCGGCAGGCAATTGCCTAGCTAAGGTGCAATAATAATCCTAGGAAATTTTTTTGTTTCACTTTTGCTGGTGCCTTATTGTCTCCAAACCCCGAGACCCCGGGTTTGGAATGCTATGTATGTATGTAGGGCATGTACCTACTCTACTCTACTCTACTCTCTAGGTATCTGATACTTTGCCCGGCCATACTCACAACGACTAGGGATTTACTTTTTCTCCTGGGGAAATATCAATTCAGGCAGCCAAGACGCACCATGGAAGAGAAAAAACCGGGTTCTCTGAATCAGGTTATGCGGCATGGGATGGGATCCCGATCACGTTATCGGAAGAGGGAGTAAACTTGCATGCATACGGGAGGGAGGGAGGGAGGGAAGGAGTTGACGTTGATTGACACCGCCATTAGAGATCAGGTGTATTCTCCCTGAGCCCGAGGGGATCGAGTGGGGCCTGAGGATCAACAACTCTGAGCAATCTGAAGTGTGGCCGTGGATCATGGGAGAAGTACAAGTAAATAGTTGTTAGATATTTAAGCACGCACATGCTAACTATTGCGCGCGGGTACACCTCTAGATGGGGAAAAAAGGAAAAGGGAAGAAAAAAAAAGAAGGTTGTTTCATTGAGATTCTGTTCGGATAAATTTCAGGAACTGTTGTTTGAACTGGCTGGTTCTGTAGCATGTAAGCCCGTTGTCTTGGCACGCGCTGCAGAGAAATTCGGTTAGCGTTACCTACGCTTACGGCGGCATTTTTACAAATAATTTGCATCTGTGCGACAGCGCCCCTAAATATTGGAAATTAACCTAGATCTTCTTTCTATTCGGCGGCATGGCATGGCAGTTTATGTGAAGATACAGTTCCGGAATGGCTGGTTGGTTTTCGTCTATCCTACATTTTTATCAAAGGCATCATACTTTTTTTTGAACTGAAAAAGCATTGAAAAAAATACCAAAACCAATGTCCTCTTCGGACCGGATCCACGGCAGAAGATAAAACATTCTCATTGGCCACCAACAACGACATGGCGCATCTAAATACCTTTTTAGAAAGGTATATCCAAGTGATTTATTAGTCAAGTTAGACATTTTTCTCCATGTAGCCCGTCCAACCTCGTGATGGCTACATTGCTAAAATTTAGGGTGGTGGTGGACATGTATGAAATCCAAAATTTTGATATCCGCGTCCGGGAAAGGAAGTCTAGACCAGCAATGGTGGGGGAGGGAGGAATGTGTTAGTGGCCTATCGTATCAATGATAGAATTAGGTGGTTACTCGGAGGCAGCAGGCAACTAGAGTAAATGGCTTGCAGGTAATTGACAGATCTTGCATCCTCGGTTTAGCGAGGGAGATTCGTTCAATTGTGCAGCTGTACAGGGAGCGAGGGCATGAACGACTGAGCCAATTCAATCGGCTTTTTTAAGTGGATATAGCCCATTGGCCATGGAAGGGACATTGGAGCTTGGCCGTGAGGTGAGGTGCGCGTCTGGCCGGACAGGGAGGGAAAATACTGTGACGGGCACAATTGTTCCTGCCTATGGTTCAACATACCTGTTGGGTATGTACCGCTGCCTATGTATTCCATACATCTGAATACCCATCTACCTACATACACTGTAGAATGGTACTGATTCAGAGGAGAACAGAATGAATGCGGATGCTGCTGCCTACCTGACCCTGCGTATACTTCCTCTTTCCTCATTAGGATATGCGTGTGCAAATGTAGGTACATACATGTATGTATGCACTCTAGAGTAGGTACTCTATGTGTGAGTAGAACAAGTATGTCTGTATGTATGTGGGTAGGTTCTCTGCTTAACTCAAGTTTCTGGTTACTCTAGAGTATTATATGTACCTACATAACTACATGTACCTACTCTAGATACTCTACTCTAGAGTACTAGAGTAGAATACTCTACCTACCGGTGTGCATCTTGTACTCTATGCCCCCATACGGTACCGTAGCTCAGCACGTACAAGGGTTCAGACCAGACATCCAATAATCACCGCCTAAGCATGAAAACGGTTCGTTACTCTACCATGTTCATAACCACCCCTGCGGGCGCGTGCCTGGAGTACATACTGGGGGGTCTAATTTTTGTGGAGTCCCGGCGAATTAGTACCAGAAGAAGTTAATCATTACAATGAGTACCTACTGTAGGCAAATCCCGCCCCTGCGTGATGGGTTGCAAGCTAGAGTACTAATGGCTGATGATCACTAAAAAAAAAACGATCGTCTGGGTGCACGGGCTTGTATTGTACATACGCCTTTAGACAAAATCACCAACTGACTGGCCCGCCTGCCTCGATCTTGGAACCACCGTACCTACCTACGGTACACCATGGTGATTGAGCTATTAGCAAAAAGCGCGGTTTTTGCCGTACTGAACGATAGTCTGTTACAATTGCTTGCCTACTTAAATGGATTCCTGCTCCCTCCTCGGATGCTCCAACAAGCTCTAGATCTCCTCTGGTCTGATACCATTATCATTACTCCCCCCTCACTCGTTTTTTCAAGCTTCTACTTCTACCTGCAGCTCGTTCCCTAGGATTGGAATAGAGAATTCTCCGAAGACATTGAATCAAACCACCAATACCTATCGTACCAGCCTTGACCCTTAGTTGATCTGAGCGTTTATTTTTCTTCTTTCTCAGTTATATTTATTTTTATCTTTATCTTATCTGGTGGTCGGAGAGCTTTAAGGAAAGGATCTTCAATAGTCAGACCAGCTAGCTAGCTATTCATTCAACTACTCCCTGCCAATACCAATGGAGAAATCGGTTCAGCAAGACGTACCACTACCTCCTACGATACCATCTTCGGTTGTTGTAAGATCACAATCACCGCCGGCATCGATTCATCATTCCATTGTCTCCGACTATTCTACCTCAGATCATAGCAGATATTACACACCCAGTAAGAAAGAGATTGAGCGCTTGGGACGTGTTAGGCCGGAATGCTTCAAATCGGCTTGGTCAGAGATAGGATTCGTCCTATCAATCTGCATGAGCCAAATATTGACTGTAAGATTTCTTCTCCCTATCTTTTACGATTTTTATGTTTTTTTTTTTTTTTTTTTTTTTTTACGCTGGGGCGCCCAACACACATGCACACATGCCATTGTAATTATGATATGTCCGGGATATATTCGTAAATACCCCATTAACCGACGTACGGAAGAGGAAGATATATCTCGCGCACAGCCCACCTATTAGAATAGTAACCACCCTCAATGCGCAGGCCATCATTGGCTAACTAGTCCCGCGCACCCATACAGGAATACTTCGTCTCCGGATTCAACCTCCTCGTGCCCTCTGTAGTGGACGCCTTCGATATTCCCGCAACCTCAGCAACCTGGCCAGCGTCCGCTTTTTCACTAGTAATATCATGTTTCCTACTACCCTTTGGCAGGCTGTCGGATATGTACGGCGGGAAGATCATGTTTGTGCTGGGCGTGGGCTGGTTAGTTGTGTGGAGCGTAGTCGCGGGGTGGCAAAGAATGAGTTGATGTTGGACCTGGCAAGAGCGCTGGCGGGGCTGGGGCCTGCGGCGTTTCTGCCGAGTAGCGTTATGCTGATGGGATGTGTTTATCGGCCGGGGCCTAGGAAGAATTTGGTATGTGCCTTTTCGTTTTGAGTTTTTTTCTGAGAGTCCTGATCATTGTGTATCAGTTTGGTTGGAGTCATTCTTGGAGACGACCCAATATGTAAGACATTGTACTAATTCGAAATTCAAATATAGGTATTTTCCTTCTACGGCGCCTGCGCACCACTTGGATTCTTCTTTGGGATCTTCTTTGCTGGCGTTTCTGCTCAATATTCTTCATGGCGCAGCTACTTCTTCATCGGGGCCATATTTGCCGCAATCTCTTTTGTGCTCGCCTGGGTTTCCGTCCCCTCTGATAGGGACGAGCGCAGTGCCTTTAAGATCAAGATGGACTGGCCCGGAACTATCCTCATCGTGTCGGGACTTATCCTCGTCGTCTACGCCATCACCGACTCCTCGCGCGCTCCCCAGGGTTGGAGGTCACCAAACATCTTGGTCACCTTTGTAGCCGGAGTCTGCATGCTCCTCGGCGCCGTGTATGTTGAGGGTTGGGTAGCTGAGCAGCCGCTCCTGCCGAGCCATATCTGGAGAGTGACCATGTTCCCGGCCGTTGTGGCTGCAATGTTTATGCAGTATGGCGGTCTAGGAATCTTTCTCCTCTACTCCACATTCTAGTAAGCCAACTCTTCCCCACCTCTCTTTCCCACCACCACCCCCCCCCCCATACTATAGCCTAGAGTAGCGATGCAAAAAGGAAAAATCAAAGACTAACCACCACCCCCTGCAGCGTGGACGGAGTCATGGGCGCTGGTCCCCTCCAAATCGTCGCCTGGTTCACCCCCCTCTTCGTTGGTGGCATGATCATTGCTACAGTCGGTGGCTTTGTCCTCCACATCATCTCCGGAACCATATTAATGATCACTGCCGGCGTCGCCTGGGTAATCGCGCCTCTCCTATTCGCCATCATGCCCGAGGGCGCGAGCTACTGGGCTTTCGTCTTCCCCGCCATGATCATGGCAACCATTGGTATCGATATCAGCTTCAACATCACAAATATCTTCATCACCACTGGTTTGCCGAAGCGACACCAGGGTCTTGCTGGTGCAATGTACGTTATCATTCCCCTAGCCCTGATAACCCTAACCCTGATCGGAAAATAATAACTAATGAAAATTGAAATATTATAGAATCAACTCGAATATGCATCTGAGTATCGCCTTTTTCCTTGGTTTTGCGGAGATCATCTCGGCGAAAACACATGGTCAGGGAATCAGAATCAGTTACAAGGCGGTGTTCTGGTTTGAGATTGCGCTGGCGCTTGTCGCGTTGGTGATCATGGTGATATGGGTTAGGGTTAGTAAGGCGAAATGTGATTTGACAGCGGACGAAAAGGAGAGGGAGAGGGAGATGAGCAGGTCGAGAGGATCTGAGGATTAGTTTTTTTCTTTAATGTTAATAAGTTATGGGGACGAGTTAATGATAATGTTGTAGGCGGGAGTGGAGGAGGGGGTTAGGGTTAAAAATAGGTTGGTCTTCAGAGGGTTTTTATTCGGGGGTATCGGACTGGCGTTTATTATTGGTTGGGAGTTTTTTTCTTTTCTTTGCCTTCGCTTCTCTTGTAATTAAATTTTTGGGGAAAAGGTGTTGGGGGGAGAAAGAGCAACAAACAAAAAAAAAACGTTTTGGGGGAAGAAAAAAAATTTAAAATCATAAAATAAAGATATCGTCTCATCTCACTATCTCATCTGGACCGCATCTTGATACTAATGCAATTGGTACCAGATTGGGGAGCGGGCGTCCAAAGTGAAGGCATCTACATGTGCCTGATTGGAATACAGCTGATCTGACCCGATGCTTTCTCTCACTCACTTTTTTTCTTCTTTTCTGGGTCTTTTCTTTCTTTTCCTTGGCCGCCGGCCGTGCAGTATGTAAGTACCCTTATCATAACGTGACAAGTGGTACATGTAGGTATAGTCCTTCTGTTTTATACATTGAGTACATGCCGGTACATGTCAGCTCCCCATGCCCAGTTTAGATGTAGGTTCCATATGTAGAGCACTGTATCAGATGTACTCGACAGATAGGTACCTAGAGTATACATGCCGTATTCACGGCCGGGCCAATGATACGGACACAAACTCAGCAACGCTCACCGATGAGGGCCTTGAAGGGCTTTCGGTTTGGTTCTGAAGTATACCGATACCATGATCAACTATAATTCTGCGCGCCTCCATGCAGCAGGTGGCCATTAGCCTATTGTTAATTGTCGGCCGGAGCTTGGGCACGTACCATGGATAACTGGAATCAGGTATATATGCCTGCTCTGGGTACGTGTAGAGTACTCGATGCAGCAGATGTACATACATATGATTACTTGGTGAGCTTTGCACCGGCAGTGAGTGATAGGTTTAAAAGACGGGTGGTCATTGCCGTTCGAGCTTTCCAGACCAGCCAGTAATGTTCTACCTAGGTAATGTACTCAACCATAGCGGACCTCCATATGAACAGCCGACGACCCCCCCCCCCCCCATTGCAACGGTGTCTCCAGCCAGTAAGGTGCCGGGGAACCTGGAGACCGTGCTCCGCTTGATTTGGGCGTCTATCGTCGGGTGGTTAAATCGTTGAGATTCCAGCCATGTGCTGGAATCGTGGTATTTTTTTTTTTTTTTTTTTTTTCCTTCCTTCTCTCTCTCGCGCCAATTACTCGGGCCAATAGGACGTGTAGTATGTAGGCAGGGCCCTTCCGGGGAAGCTCTCGGAGCTTGGCTTGCTTGGTTCTTGCCGTTCGAAGATACATGTCGAGTACCTATGCATCCTTCGTGCATCTGCGTCTGGCTGGGGGGGGAACCTCGGGTCTTAAATGTATGTGGATGTTTGAGACACGAACAACGTTGCAACTTGCAACAACGCATGGCTTGTCTGCTTTCTTTTTTTTTTCTTCTTCGTTTTTCTTTCTTTTTCTTTCGCCTTTTTGAAAAAAAGGAAAGAAAAAAACGTACCTTGAGGGGTTGGTTCTGGAATTCTGGAGTGGAGATGCGGTCTGTGCTTTTTGTCCGGGTGGATGGGGGCGGTGGGGGAGAGTCTGGAGGAGGAGGAACCTGGAGGATGGCATGGCCGGACGGATGCCTTCTTTCTTGGCGTGCCGATCGATCGAGTGATGGCGGAAGATTCTGTCACATGTGGGCACTGATGTTGGGCCAGTGCTGGTGCCAAGCTGTGGCACTTGTCTTTGGTGGAGAGTTGATGGAGCGTATTGGGAACACTAACCCCGTTTGAGTACTGCATTAATTCGAATAGACGGACGTTGAAATTCCCGTATTTGGTTATTTGTCTTGAATACGCCTCGAATCTCCCCTTGTACTGCTTGTGTGACCGGCTGTCTTTTTGAGTTAATGAGGTATGAGTATGAGTATAATGAGTCTGGATCTGCATGGAGTGCCCTCGTATTTTGATGGTCATAAGAGTTGATCTTTGGAATTGTGATTAACTATATGGTTGTCTCTGGGAAAGGCTTTAGAAGTTATATATGTTGGTCTGGGTCAAGTACTCTTCTAACTCTTCTCTTTAGAGATTGCCCCCGAAGTTAACGGCCTTACTAAATCTTTAGGTTTCCTTATTTCGATCTTTTCGTTCTTGATCTAATGGCTCCCCCGAATCTTAGAGGTGCATTGGGAGGAGGTCAATCGCTTATATATAACTCATTATCAGAAAACATATAAAAAAATTTGGTATCTATCATGATCGTGAAGATGTTAGAAGAGGCCTGTTTTGTACGTAAAAAGCGCAGGGATCGAACTATTTTATGCTTACCATTTCTACTACTTTACTGCCTGATATATATAGGGTATTGAAGATAACGCCTTTGACGACTTTCTTGTTGTAATACCAGGCCATATCCCCGGGTGAGATAATACTTGGTATGAGTTTCGTATGTAATAACTGTGGACTTATGTAGGTGGCATATCAACTTGTCCTGAACGATTTATACTTTAAATCTATGTAACTAGAAACTCTAGATCATAGTACATGTCCTATCAGTATCATCGTCTCTCTCATCATCCATTCTATAGCTTGGTTTCGCTACAGTCATCAGAACACGCACCGCCTTACAAAGCTGGTAAGCAACCCTGTACAATTTGTGAGTATTTTGGCCGTTCATGTAGTCTGTCAGGTACGTACCAATATACCGAGCGTGCGTGACAGAGGATCTGCAGTCCGGGATAGGTCTCTGGAACGCGTCAATCTTATTTCCCTCGAGCAGTACCTGCCTTATCAGCACGTGATTGACTTGATTACACAAATTCCATTAACGAAGAAGGGTCTAGACATTCAATCTCATGATGCTTCCTACTACAACTTGAAGGAGTCGATTGGGTCTTTGCTAGGTTTCGTTTGGGTGTGGCTGAGGCACTTCCACTTTGGGGCTAAAGTGCAAGGTTGGGACGGCAAGGAGACACGCGCCAGCCATCAACGATTCTATTCTGGCCGTAGTAGCACAGCCGGCGAACACAAACCACCAACGACCAACACTCGACCCAGCACGGCCTTCTCTGCACGGTAGCTAATTAACTCTACGACATAGATGTGCAAGTCTCTCAGTTCTGTAGCGCTCACCAAACCATCTACGGCACACAACTAAACCGTTCCTCCAGACGCCCGTCCATCTCCAGCCAGTATGGATATCTGGTCTGGCTCCATCTCGGTCGAGTCCTCCTCGCCCTCAGCGAACATCGTGCCCCTTGAAGGTAGTAGCCAATACACACAACCCATCACCCTCCAACCCCCAAACCCCCAAACCCCCAAACCCCCAATACTAACAACCAGCCCAGATCTCCGCCTCTCCACACCCTCCTCCACCACCACGCCCTCCTCCGTCCTCTCCCACCTCACCAGCAGCCTCTCCTCCGCCCGCCTCTCCGCGCTCTCCATCATCGACCCCACCCGCATCCCGCTCTACCTCGCCGCCGGCCCCTCCCTCGAGGTCACAACGACCTCCCCCGCAACCGCCTCCTACTTCCGCAAACTCTTCCTCTCCACCCTCCCCACCGACGACACCCTCCGCACCACAACCCAATCCCGCACCGCCCTTCTCGTCCGCATCAACAATGACACCCCCGCCGCACCCGGCTCCTGGGGACTAACAGAGCTCGCCATCTACGCTGCCATCACACACCTCCCCGCCTCACAACAACTCCTAACAACCACAACAGCAGACCTAACACCCCCCAACTCCTCCCCGCCCGCCGATGCCGTCGCCGCCGCACCAACAGTCCTTGTAACCGTCCACGCACTCCCGCTCTCGTCGCACCATGCCTTCCCAACACACATGGCCGCGGCAAAGTCCCCCACCCCTACCGCCGATCCGCTCTTTATTGCGCCGAACCCGCAGGAGATACTAAACCCGTCGATCTCACAGTCCGCGAAGAAGCGCGGCGCGGCAGTGCTCGATGCCGCCGCGGACCCGCGGAAGCGCGTGAAACGGAGCGCCGCGCCCGCGCCCGCGCCCCCGCCGCCGCTGACGCTGTTGGGCGGCGCCGCGCTGAATCACCGGAAGGTGAGTGTGAGTGGGGGTGCGGGCGCGGGTGCGGGGGTGATGGTGAAGAGGGAACGGTCGCCGTCACCGGCGCCGTCGCTGTCGCTGTCGGCGAATCGGTCGTTTGGCAGCGCTGGTAGTGGTAATGGGGGCGGAAAGGGGCTGAAGAGGAGTGAGTCGTCGGTGACTGTGCGGTCGGCGGCGGGGGTGGGGGCAGTGGCAAAAAAGGAGATGTATGGCGAGGTTGAGACGCGGAACCGCGCGGAGCTGGCGAAGGTTGTGGTGGCGGGGATGAGGGCGTGTGGGTTGAAGGACTATCGCGGCGGTAGAGGAAGGTCGATTGCGGGTGTGGAGGACGACGAGGAGGGTGAGAGGGAGAGGGAGAGGGAGAGGGAGAAGGAGGAGTATAAGCAGGTGTATTATCATACGGTCAAGGCGGCTGCGTTTGCTTTGGTAGGTTTTCTTGTCTTATTTGTCTGTGGGTGCGCAAGAGGGGTTGGCTAATTGGTCTGTGTGCGTGTGTAGAGGAACGTCATCGCTGCTGGCACAGTGGGTCCCGATAGGATGAGGGACGTGGTGGATAGGCTCCTGGCTGTGTTCTGTGAGCCGAGGACTGGACAGTTGATGTTGGAGGCGGCGGCTGCGCAGGCGGTGGACGAGTAGCGTGCTTGGGGTTGGTTATTTCGTTTTCTGTTTTGCAATTGTGGCTTTTTATAAAAAATGTCTTTTTTTTGGGGGGGGGGTAGGGGAGAGTTCTTGTGGGCGTTTTTTTTTTTTTTTTTTTGACTTTTTTTGACTTGACTTGCAATTGGCTTGGATTGGCTTGGATTGGATTGTTTGAAGGGGTTAATTGTAGCGTGCGTGTGTGTGTGTAGATAGGGATACCAATGTGTTTTTGAGTGTTTTTGAGTAGTGCGGACGTGAAAGGAGTGGAGTCAAGATAGTGGGTGGGGATGGTTTTGGTGCCGTGCATGGATTATCACTCGGGTGTTGTGCATGGGCTGTTTGGTAATTTGATAAATTTGGGATATTACAGTGCCCTTTAACTACTAGTTGGTATACTGCTAGGTAACTTGTGTGCTCCGCTAGTGATAGTGGCGATATGGAAGGCTTGCGTATGTGTAAGGTAAGGAGTGTTTACGTCCGGTGATATGGTCTGGCTACATGATATAAAAGCTACTTTAGTCATGAGATTCGTTGGGGATCCGGGAATAGGAATATATAGATAGGAAGAATATTTACATGTAATTAATTGCGAAATGGTGGATATGGGACACCTGCTATATATGTCGTTATTCGCGGTGGTCTGGATTTGATAAATTGACATGGGGGTTGGTCATGGGTTATCACTCGGTTTTACCAAGGGTAAGGCTTTTTTTTTTTTTTTGCTCTTGGGGGGGGGGGCTTGACTCGGTAAGGGGTAAGGGCCGTTTGGGTGCGTGGGCTGGCATGCTGGTTGGTGTGTTGCCGGCGGTGGTGGGGTGGGGATAGCGTGGGTGGGGTATTTAGGGTAGTGAGGGCTGCGACTTTTGGTGTGAATATTTATATGCATATATGGGTGGGTTTGACCGCTACAGCTATCAAGAAACTAGGTGGTTCTTGGGGCTCTGAGTTTTGTGATGGCGGTTAATTTATCTAGGTCTATCAGCGAATTTATAGCTAGCTACTCAACTACGTGTAGATGTGTAGTGACTCAAAACTCCAGCTCTATGCCGCTCGTGGGAAGAGAGAGACAGTGGTGGATCAAAGCACACTGGGGGACTTAAGTTTTATATGTATCTGCTCGCTGGTAAGGGGCCCTAACCAACCCTAACTAATATAATTCCCCCCCGACTACCACTCTGAAAGGTCACTTTCCTTTCGTTGAGAATTAGCCTGTAGAGTTTTTCTTTCTTGTCTGCGTCTTTGGAGTCTTTGTTTTCGTCATAGCCACAGCTCGGGTTGGTGTGTTGTGTACCTGCGGTATATATTGCTTAACTCAGTGGTATCCCTTATACTTGGCGTTTGTCGGGCTCTATGGGGACGCTACTGTATGGGGTGGTCTGTTCGGTGCTGCGGGCTGTGTGTATCTTTGTAAATGACTGGGTGTTGAAATTAAGCGTGTAGAAGAAATCTGTGCACGGTCCACTGAAGCTGGTTTCCTGGACTAGGTTCCTTTTTTGGCTCTGGCTTTGGATGATGTGGTATAAGGGGAGGTTTCTGGTTTTGGCGGTTGCATATCAAAATACTCGTATACATCTAGCCTGGTGGTTGCTTGCTCTTGGTTGCGTATATCTTGGTTTTATGGTGTTGTAGACGCTCAATGTAGCCGTACTTTAAACGTTTGAGGAGCTAGGTTGCGTATAGCTAGGAAACTATGGGATCAGAGAGTTATAACGATAGGGTCTCCGAATGACCTTTGACGTTGATTCCAAAGCCCTGCACGAGGTTCCTGGATATATATAGGTAGGTCGTACGCTCAAGTACCGATATGTTTAGAGATCACCGCGTAGGATTTGTTCTGATGCTAGATCCTGCAGCTACGGATCTTGGGAGGGTTACCTCATGCATATATCCAATGATTTGATCCTAATGACGATGGGTAAGACATATCGCAACGGGTGACACTCGAAGACCCCCGGAAAGGAATCGAGACTCTTCCTGGTACCGTCTTCCTTCGAGATAGATTTCTCTATACGATGATAGTAATTCGATTTTGGATTTGAAAGAATAGCTGTAGCCAGAGTATGTGGCTATGGGGCCTTAGTGTGGTCAAAAAGGCTTAGACACGAGCATGTCTTGGCACTCCGAGTTCCGAGTGATTGATCATGATTGAAAAAATGTTCACCAGGACCACAATCCGAGAAACGGATAGGAGGGTACCTATCCCACGAGCTCAGGAGTACACGAATTATTCGCTGGGTCTGATACTGCCGTGCATGTAATATCGGAAAGAGCAGTGACGTATCACATGTAATATATCGGAGCCGCAGTAAAAGTCTGAGAAACGTACTAATTGTTCCGTTGTTACAGAAATAAGCGACGACCAAGCAAATACAGTGACTGGTAGTCTCATACCCATCCCATACTTAGCCGCAAGCTACCCACCAGACTGTTTGGGGACGAGCCTAGGTGACTGGATATGTACGCGTATCAGTACGTGCGGCGCCACGGCGTAGTGCTATCGATAAATCACCGCCAGTGCACCTGCTCATGCATTCTAGCTTGGCACCGGGCAAGGCCGCGTGTTCGGAACTCCAGATACGTCGTCTGGGAGAAACGCTTAGATGTATCGCATGGGGACCCCACGAATAATACCGCTAATCATAGGCCCCGCATGCACGTGACCTTTCGCTGTGTTCTTCATGGGATATCACTCGGACCCTAGCACCTTATAACCTATATAGGAGGCGAACGTTGCGGGCCACGTCAACTAGAGAGCAGATATAATTGTTATATATGGGGTAAAATTTGGTTTGACAAAGGAATCTGATCACGCTCAACCCATCTATAAACCTCGTATTTCGCCTTTGTACTTAGGATCCTGAATGTGTATGGAATAGTAAATAATGAAAGACTGAATAGATGAGCATAGAGAAGAAGAAAGTAAATAGTTTTAAACAAAAGAAATGGATATGTGGATAACATAGTGATAAACCCCATCAACAAGGAAAAACCGACCGGAACACAAGAAACCCGTGATATGACAACGAAATCAAGGCGACTTAAGACAATAAGGAGAGAAAAGCTAGCATAAACTAAAAAAAGGAGAGACATATAGAACTGCGCAATCGTGTAAATAGGCCGCGAAAGGTAAATGTATGTCATGTTTGAGTTTTCTAATATTGCATGTAACCTATATATCTCGATTGCCAGTGGTTCCATGGGGCTAATCTACTAGCTGCGGCAGTGAATTGCTCAAGAAGAGGAACTATCGCATTACGCTTATTCCTTACTGCTACTTGTAGAGGAGTAATGCCAGAATGTGACTTCATAAGTGGGTCAGCGCCACGCTCAACCAGTAGGCGGGCCACAGCTTCATGACCATTTTGTGCCGCTAGATGTAGGGGAGTGTATGAATCAACCTGCAGAGCAGAGACATCCGCGCCCTTCTCGAGCAGCAGGCGGGCCACAGCTTCATAACCGTTTAGTGCCGCTATATGTAGGGGAGTCCATGAATCAACCTGAAGAGCAGAGACATCCGCGCCCTTCTCGAGCAGTAGGCGGGAAACCGCTTCATGACCGTTTTCTACCGCTAGATGTAGGGAAGTCCATGAATCAACCTGAAGAGGAGAGACATCCGCACCCTTCTCGAGCAGTAGGCGGGCCACAGCTTCATGACCGTTTTGTGCCGCTATATGTAGGGGAGTCCATGAATCAACCTGAAGAGCAGAGACATCCGCACCCTTCTCGAGCAGTAGGCGGGCCACAGCTTCATGACCGTCTTGTGCTGCTAGATATAGGGGAGTACTTGACTTTTCCGTAAGAGCAGAGACATCCGCGCCCTTCTCGAGTAGCAGGCGGGCCACAGCTTCATGACCGTTTCGTGCCGCTATATGTAGGGGAGTCCATGAATCAACCTCGAGAGCAGAGACATCCGCGCCCTTCTCGAGCAGTAGGCGGGCCACAGCTTCATGACCGTTTTGTGCCGCTATATGTAGGGGAGTCCATGAATAAACCTCGAGAGCAGAAACATCCGCGCCCTTCTCGAGCAGCAGGCGGGCAACCGCTTCGTGACCGCCTTGTGCCGCTAGATGTAGGGGTGTTTGTGAGAACTGTTTTTCTAGAGCAGAGGCATCCGCACCCTTCTCGAGCAGCAGGCAGGCCACAGCTTCATGACCGTTTTGTGCCGCTATATGTAGGGGAGTGTATGATATAACCTGAAGAGCAGAAACATCCGCGCCCTTCTCGAGCAGCAGGCAGGCCACAGCTTCATGACCGTTTTGTGCCGCTATATGTAGGGGAGTGTATGATATAACCTGAAGAGCAGAAACATCCGCGCCCTTCTCGAGCAGCAGGCGGGCAACCGCTTCGTGACCGTTTAGTGCCGCTAGATGTAGGGGAGTCCACGAATCAACCTGAAGAGCAGAAACATCCGCGCCCTTCTCGAGCAGTAGGCGGGCCACAGCTCCATGACCGTTTAGTGCCGCTAGATGTAGGGGAGTGTATGTATCAACCTCAAGAGCAGAGACATCCGCGCCCTTCTCGAGCAGTAGGCGGGCCACAGCTTCATGACCGTCTTGTGCCGCTAGATGTAGAGGGCTTTTTGAACAACAGCTACACTGAGCATATAAGCCTGACCCGCTCTCAATCAGAGGAAAAACCTCTTGCTCTGAGAAAGATTTGCGGTGCAAGAGCTGGCATAATCTTTGTATATTGTCTTCCCTTTCACTGTTATGAGTGGTTCTATAGCTAGGGGATCGTTCTATGCCTGTTTTCTCTAGCCCTAGGGAAGTGTTCAAAGAGTTACGAGACTCCGAAGATCTATCTACAATACCTGGGACCTTCTCCGCTCCCATGGTAGTAGTAGACATGATAGTACTGTTGGTATATTGGGAGCGGGGCGGAGAGGAAATGGGATTGTAATCTTCTTCGTGCTGGCTTTCAATGGTCGGATTGGCAGGAAAAACCAATTCGGGCCCGGGAGGAATATTCTCCGCATCAACCATCTCAGTATCTTCACCATCAATATAAACAGGGTTGGTGTATGTGCCTAGTGGGGACTGGATATCATGGTCGAATGAATTTACAGGCTGATAATGCGTGAAGTGCGGGCGAGGTGTCTCTGGGTTTTGCTTCATAGGTGTACTATCGTTATCGACTCTTGGGGTTCCATATAATTCGCTGGGCGTCCCAGGGTCAGGATTCCGGGGAGTCCAATATTCAACATAGTCCGGAGTAGCTTAAAGCACTACAGTCAGATAAACTCTATTCTCGGCAGATCTAAAGTTTCTTACCTGCTGCGGGGGAATCTCCTGGTTGAAATCCGGAAACGTGCCGCTGTAGTTTCTCCATAGTTACCGGCAACCCGTTGAATGTAAATTCAGTCCGTTTCCCCTCTGCCGCGAGTCTTTCATTTTGTTTTTTTAACATTATGATTGCATCCTTCCTCTTGAGGTTTTTATTTAGTCCCCATTCTTTTATTTTTCTATCGAACTGTCTCTTGCTGATGAATTCATAGCCGCATGTTAGCTCTATATATAAATAAATTGACCCTCAGCTAGTGCGCGTATGCGCTACATATAATATTGTATCTATATATATCTGGGCCAACCATGTTACTATGCGCCTGAAAATTGTACTTACTTTGCATAGAAACCATGGTTTTGAGCCATAATTTTCCGTATCTCTGGAAGTTTGAGATTTTTCTGGAGGTATAATTTCTGAAATTCTGGACGTTGAGCTTCCCACTCGGCTGCTGTGTGCTCACACAGTTTAAAATCCTTCTCCCAGTCCGTACGCGTACGTTCCGGGCGGGGCCGGGGGGGCGGTTCCATCACGGGGTCGGTGGCTCTATTTAACGAGGTTGCGGGGGTATAAATTATACTGGGTGTGTTTTTATAATATGTGGTGAGAGTACTGTGCTGTACTGAGAAGGTTGAATGGTAAGGCGATGATGAGGGAGGAATATCACGATCCAGATAGAGGGCACACGTTGAGGTTTAAGTACCTTTTTTTTCTTTCCGGAGTCGAGACGATATAACTGTTTAAGCTTAACAAAATCACTAGTCCAGTAAGCCTCACATTATTATGCACGGTGCTTTTGATATCACCCAATCAAAAAGGTTTACAAAAGCACCCCGCAGCAAGGCTCGGGTGTGCCAACACAATGGAATCGATTTCCCGGGGACATATCATACTATAACCTGAAATGCAAGGTGCTTTATTAGCTGCCTATCCTTTACCATGACGTTGACCGTTGAAACAATGAGCTCCAATATGGTGCGCTTGCAGTCAATCAAGGTTAGCTGGAGAATATGCTTTGCTGGTAACTTTTTGCCGACCTCCCCCAAGAACCGACCAATCTTTCAAAAGCACCTTGCAGGCCTACTGTATAGTACAGGACATGGGTACGGGACTATCTGTTTTATAATAGACCAATCCGCAAAAGCACCTTGCAGGTAAAAAGTCAAAGTACCTTACACAGATCTCGAGATTTGTTTGAGCCGACCAATCAGTCAAAAGCACCGTGCTGCAAAATCACATATATATACTCCATTTCCTTGCCCCTTCTCGCCCTATTCTCTACATCCTCCCTCCAATTTCTATATTCGCAGCTGCAGACAATTGTAGCATATCCCCACTATATCCTGACTAGTCCCACCCCATTTTCTACAAATAAAAACACCCAACACACGAAATGGAAGCCATTCCTACAAATGATGTGCGAAATTTCTGCTGTAACTGCAAGACCTTACAAAAAGATACATTCGGCCCCTCTGATACTCCAAAAGATCTCATTCAAAAGAATTATTTGATTAAAAGACTACCCGAGTATACACACCCAACATTTCCGTCATTCAAAACATCTACACCTATTCTTTCTCGGTCCTCTTCGATAGCCCAGGGAGAAAACCAACCTGTTACTAGCGATACGGCACAAGGTAATACCATAAATTGTCAGTTATATTACAGTTCCACTTTTAGTTCGCGACTGCATTACTAACTCCCGGATCCCTACTGTGATGTCATTGGCCTTAGCTTTCGAAGGTTATAACCAGGATACTTCGTTGGCTACTTTAGGAGCAGCTTCCACAGATGATGGTCGATTCCGACACATTTCACCGGAAACACGACAATTTCTTCTCTTCATTCTTATGGGAATCATGTTCATCCCCTTTTCATTCGTAGTTCGGGCCTGGGGAAATCTTGACGCGAGTCAGACTGTCGGTGTCCTCCAGGTCTCTGTAGTTTTCTTTGTGGAATTAGCCAAGTTATTTCCTTGGATTTGAGGTTTGAAAGCGTTTTTTTCTTTTGTTTCATGACATCTGATGTATCATGCATCGTTAGTATAAGGTGTATTGGGTTGTGATTAGCTTGGGCGGGATTATTGGTGTAACCCTCAAAACATACATGTATCTCATGTCTTTGGATAGATTTTCTTTCTTATTTCGTCTTCTATCTTCCTCTCACTTTCTCTAAATACCCTTTTATTTGTAAAAAGAATAAAGATTGTTGTAATACCCTTTGGAAAAATATTTTCTTTGAAGCGTTTTAATTTGCCTATTACTGGGTCGTTAGGGCTCAACTATGGCAGTTCTTCTGTACTAGCTTGCTAAAATTGTTTCAATGAGTGTAATCTGAAGCTCTGAAAACCGAGGGCTCTGTTATTATATTATGGACGTATGCATATACCGCCGATCTTGCAAGAACTAGAAATGATTGACTTTGGGCCTAGTATCAGGATCTGGTATCTACATGTAGCTACTGATATATAAGACCGATCCCTGTAATTTATTGAATATGCTGAATCAAAAACGTCCCCGACTACAAGCCTTTTCAGCTTGGATATTATAAGTCATGCGGTAGGCCTAAGGTTGCAGAGCCCCAAATTGTATATCATATTGTATGTACCGCTCTGTGGAGATCTGGTTGGTATATATTGCATACCAATATATATACATCACTGAACCCAATTTAATACCACCAACAGCACGTATGTTCTTAGATAGTAAACAGTTCCTCGGACTCAGTAAAGCCATTGGGGTACATGTAGTTATATGTATCAAAGTAGATCGATCTGCGTTGATGTGCGCCTTGAAAGGGACTGAACTGCCTTGCCCTCTTGGGACGCATGAGGAGACGGACAAGATACTTGTCAGGAAGCTCAAACTCGTTCTCTTCGGCAAGCTTGAAGCCTGGGGTATTGCTCTGATCAAGGGTCTGAACCCGTTCAGTAAATGCCTTCCATGGCTGCCTTACGAAGCTGGCAATTGGTGAATAATTGCCGAGAAGAATTATAAACCCACCAATTCTTCATATTGCTATTCTTATAGTTAGCTATCCCTACGTACGTGTGGAGATGATATATATAGAAAGCTATGGGAGTATCCGGAGGTAGGTGTATAACTGACGACGTTGGCTTGTTTGAAGAATCAACAAGTCAGTCTGCAGAAACTGAGTATCTGTAGTTGGTGGTCGATGGTTCGGCTGGTTCTATGTTTTGACTTATGTCTAGCTCGCGGAAACCCTTCCTTACTTTAAGATACGTGTATGTAGCTCTTCTATATCTGAGTAACCACGTACCCGTTATTAGACGAGAGTTTGGTATAAACTTTACATGGCACGGATTCGGCCTAGTGTGGCCGATCCAACCTTTCCTTCTGCGTTTCCCTAATTTATCACAATATTATCCTTGAGCCCCTAGGAGACGGAGACACGTGTGTTAGACTAGACCTCGCCTTTCTTGAATGTAATCATTAGTCTGTTGTCAGTTTAAGGTTTCCCGTGAGAGGGACCCGGGAGGGGTACGCCGAGATCAAGGTTAAATACATGTAGCCAATCAGAAGTTAGGTTTAACCTACTAGCCCCAGGCTTGTTTCCGGATCCCAGGTACTCTACATACATGTACGTACTTGAAGCACATGTAGTTTAATATCGCAGATCTTGAGATCGAAACCCCAGGTCAATCCGAGTACTTACTGGGCTCTAAACCTGACCCTAGTAGTGCCTGTATCCGAGCACGTTATGCGCCTAGCCTTGTACTCATACGTACCTACAGGCAGCTTACTGCTCTCCAAAAGATGTAGAGTTGCAAGTAGATACACCCAAATTATAACCTTGTAATTGATCCAGTACGTGCTGGGTAACTTAGGACTAGGTATAACCGATCCTTGGTACTGGTATAACCCTTTGCCAACATTCAACTCTGAAAACGCAAACCTATGTGAATATATTTTGATTCAAATACTTAATCAAGAAGGCGAAAATGGTCTGTGAAGAGAGATATAGTTAAGCGGAGAGAAATACATGGCTAAGTAACACCAGTCTAGTCTCCAATCAGACTCCGTGAGAAAATGAACAACATCGGCGTTTAGTGCATCATACCTTCCTAATACGGTTAGTGAGCATTTTAGCAATCGATGTGCAGAGGTCTTGAGATTCCAAAAATCATGAAGCTCCAGTTGTAAACACAACAAACACGTACTCTTCGGAGTTTGCCCCTCTTCCCGTGTTACAGCACTTTTATCCATCACCATCCTCCCTTGAAGTCCCACGATAGCTCTATCGGTCAGCTTTCTCAGCTTTGCCCCACCTTGATCAAGCAGCCTTATTTCGTTCCATCGTCAGAAGCTCGGCCGCGGCCTGTGAGCTCAACATCTGAGCTTTTGAAATGACTGACTATAGCGCTCTCCGGGCGCAGACTATTGGGTCCGCACAGGAAGAGGAAGCTGTCACTGTTAATACTAGAGCTTTGGTGTGTATCTATCCATGTATACTACATGTATTTGCTGCTCGAAAACTAACAGCTAGATTAGATCGATAAAGTTTTGGCTAGATATTCAAGCGAAAATACAACGTATGTGACTCATCTAAAGCTGTTCTCAGTATGCTGTAGCTAACAGATGTGCTTGGACAGTCTTCGAGAGCTACTCCAGAATGCCGCTGATGCAAACGCCACCTCCGTAGAAGTCCGTTATGATAGTGTCAATAGCTCATTGCAACCAAGCCACCAAGAACTTGACATTCAAGATCTCACTAAACAGAAAATGCGGCGGATGCTGGTAAAGAACAACGGCCACGCATTTAGGGAAGAAGATTGGCAACGTTTGAAAAGAATAGCAGAAGGAAATCCAGATGAAACAAAGATCGGAGCTTTCGGGGTGGGATTTTATAGTGTATTTGCCGACTGCGAGGAACCTTTCGTATCTTCTGGAAACGAAACCATGATATTTTACTGGAAAGAGAATACCCTCGTTACCCGCCGTCACAAGTTGAAAGAAAGTGATCCATATACTACCTTCCTACTGGAGTACAGAGAGCCTACAGAGTTGCCTGACTTGAAAGAGCTTTGTAAATTTTTCGCAACATCTCTTACATTTGTCAAGCTCAACGAAATATCATTATACGTCAATGATCGGTGCCTATTGCAA